CTTTACAGAAGGGATTTGACTCACCTTTATTTTTAAATCTAGTTTTAATGTTTCAATTATTCGTATTATTTACAAGATTATTTTACAGCCACTATTGCCAGCTTCTCAGAGGCCACCACTTCTCAGCTCTTGTTCTTAGGGTGTTTATAATCACTAAATAACAGGCTAACAATAGTACTTATATATTTTTCAGTTTTTGATATTATCATTTAATGTCTTACTTTGGAAGATGAGAATTTAGAGCAGTTGTCACTCTTTGGTCCTCTCCTAATAGCATTCTTCATTTTCTATAGAATGTTTTCTGATGTTTACAAAATATTCTGACTATGTTAGTGCCATTCACCTCTTAGCCATATATTATGAAATAATATTTTGTTTCTCTACAACTTTGCTTTGCCATAGTTAAAACAGTTCTATTTCTCATTGCCTTTGTTTCCCATGTCCTTATCCTTAGTTCATCCCCAAACTGTCCCTACAGTTCTCCAAATTTCTCAGTTTTAACATACTTAGCTTTCTACCACTTTGATTTTGCCAGCTACTCTCAAGGAGCCCTGTGACTTCTAATGCAGACCGGTTCACGAAGCCAGCTGCTCATAGAACATCTTGGGAATGCCTTTGGCATCTCAAGTTGATTTTTGTGTTTCCGTATGGCTTTCCATTTGAAGGTTGTTTTTCATTGACAAGGCCCTTCAGTAGCTTCCTAATAGTGGTCCATGGGAAATAAATTCTTTGAGACTTTAAAAAGGATTTTATTTTAGAGGCACCTGGGTGGCTCCGTAGGTTGGGCATCTACCTTCGGCTCAGGTCATGATCCCAGGGTCCTGGGATTGAGTCCCACATTGGGCTCCTTGCTCCTCGGGGAGCCTGCTTCTCTCTCTTCCTCTGCCTGACATTCCCCCTGCTTGTGCTCTCTCTGCCCATGTCAAATAAATAAAACATTTTTTAATAAATATTTTATTTTTAAGTAATCTCTTTACACAACATAGGGCTTAAAAACTCACAACCTCAAGATCAAGAGTTGCGTGCTCCACCGAGTCAGCCAGGCACCCCTTTTCGAGACTTTCAAGTATGAAAGTATGTTTAGTCTATTCTGGTATTTAACAAAGTTTCTCAGTTTCTGGTTTTGAAATAATTGTTACATATTTCTAGCATTTTTTGTTGTGAATATACTGTTAGGATGTCTGACATGTGTTTGAAAATACATCAACAGAGGGTGCCTGGGTGGCTCAGTCGATTAAGCATCTGCCTTCAGCTCAGGGGATGATCCCAGGGTCCTGGGATTGAGCCCCACATCAGGCTCCCTACTTAGTAGAGCCTGCTTCTCCCTCTCCCTCTGCCATTCCCCCTGCTTGTGCTCTCTGGTTCTCTCTCTCTCTCTTTAAAATAAAATGAAATCCATCAACAGAAACAATGTGCTAAAGCATGACAGAACTGCATACAGAGTTAGTCAGTTTCTCTAATCAGGAATTCACATTCCAGGATGATCAGGTGGCATTCCAATAGCAAACTCAAGCTCCAAGTGCTGCAACATTGCTTCAGATATATAAATTATAGATATATAGATAGATATAGATATATATTTGCTTCAGTCATCTTAATCTCTCATATATTCTGAAGCTATAATTAAACTAATGGATTATAATGGACATAAAAAATGGGGTGAGTTTGATGAAATTAGTGGTATTGGACATGTATGATTTGACTGAAAGATTAGAGTTATTCACATTCTTGCATGGATAGGACAATAATGCTAGGGAACGCTGTAGTCTATACCCAATGAAAAATGAGCCTGGGGGGCACCTGGGTGGCTCAGTGGGTTGGGGCCTCTGCCTTCAGCTCAGGTCATGGTCCCAGTGTCCTGGGATCGAGCTCCACATCGGGCTCTCTGCTCAGCGGGGAGCCTGCCTCCTCCTCTCTCTCTCTGCCTGCCTCTCTGCCTATTTGTGATCTCTATCTGTCAAATAAATAAATAAAATCTTAAAAAAAAAATAGAAAAATGAGCCTGGAATTCCCAAACTGTCTGGCCGTTGATTCTAAGGACACTGGTGGCCTCACAGTAAGTATAAAGTTAGATGAATTCTGCCTTTATGGAATTGTGTTTGCTTCAAGTGAACCGTTGGTGCAAGATCAGAACACCTAAAAAGAATGCTGGGAACACTGTTTTACCAACAAGGCTATATGAACGTACAGAGTCTGCCTGCTAAGTAAATGACTATCTCAAATGGGTCCTAGAGGGCGCCTGGGTGGCTCAGTCAGTTAAACATCTGCCTTGGGCTCAGGTCAAAATCCCAGGGTCCTGGGGATTGAGCCCTTCTGCGTTGAGCTCCCTGCTCAGAGGGGAGTCTGCTTCTCCCTCTCCCTCTGCTGCTCTCTCTGCTTCTGCTCTCTCTCTCTCTCTCAAATAAGTAAATAAAATCTTTAAAAAAATAAAATAAAACGCTGAAACCTACAACAACAAAAAAAGGACTAAGATAAAATGAAGCAATATGGTAGCACTTGGAGCTTGAGTTTGCCATTAGAACACCACCTGACCATCCTTGGACATGAATTCCTGGCTAGAGAAACAGACTAACTGTGTATACAGGATTGATTAAAAGTCATACTTTAGCACATAGTTTCTGTGGAGCATTTTATTTTATTTTAAAGATTTTATTTGCTTATTTGACAGAGCAGAGGGAATAGCCGGTGCAAATCCTTCAGGAGAGATTGTAACTGGCCTGCAGGAGTAGCGAGGAATTCAGGATGACTAGAGCACAGTAAATACGTGGGAGAATAAGAGGATCGAGAAGCAGCGTGGGCCTGAATAGTATGTTGTGTGGGACATGATTCTAAGGTGACTAAATGCGATGGGAAGTCAACGGTGGGTTTTGAGCAGAAGAGCGGCACCTGTGTGTTTTAAAAGAATCACTCTGGCTGCTGTGTTGAGGATAGCCTGGAGGAAGCAAGTTTAGAACCAAGAAGAGAAATGAGGAGGTTGTTGGGATAACCCAGGAAAGAAGAAATGGTGCTAGGACCAGTGGTGGAGGTGGTTAATAGTGGTCTAATTCCAGCTTTAGTGAGTGAGTGCTTCCTTGTGAATAAAACACTGATGTTTCATTCCAAGCAGAAAAGACAAAAAACGAAAACCGTTTTGCTTTGCGTTTCCGTGGTACACCTCTCAAATGGCCGCGTTTGAAATACCAGTAAGTCTTTGCCATTAACAATAATTGCAGTGAGCAATCGGGGGAGTCCCATACCCCACAGCCAGTCACAGCTCAGCCTTTCCCCCTTTCCCTTCTCGAAAGCGCAGCTCACTGGCTTCCTTAACCAAGAAAACCAGCCCCAATTCAAAAGCATAGAATCATTTCTGTGAGAAAATAATTTATTGATTGAAAAATCAGTAGTGTACTCCCAGCACTGCTCTGTCCCTGCCAGTTTCTGGTTCCTTAATATTCCTCCACCAACATGGTCACCCAGGAAGCCATCTCTATAATATTCTTTTGCCCATTTTCATGACATCATCATGCTTGGTCCTGATTGTCCCCTTTCCAAACCTTCCCCATCACCCAAAATAAGGCAGTGGGATAGTGGAAAGAGCATACATTTTAAATCCCAAGCTAAGTTGATCTATTTGTACTCATTACTAATTTATTGCCTCTTGATTTTTATCTTTTCAAAAAAATCAGCTTTGGGTTTGTTGATGGTCTTCCATTGTTTCTAATTTCACTTTAATTAGTCCCTTTCAGCTTTATTGATCTATTATTCAAAATAGTTTTTAAAAAAATAGTTAAAAAAAAAAAAAAGATTTGGGGCACCTGGGTGGCTCAGTGGGTTAAGCCTCTGCCTTCAGCTCCAGTCATGATCTCAGGGTCCTGGGATCTGGCCCTGCATCGGGCTCTCTGCTCAGCAGGGAGCCTGCTTCTCCTTCTCTCTCTGCCTGCCTCTCTGCCTACTTGTGATCTCTCTCTTTCTCTCTGTCAAATAAATAAATAAATAAATATCTTTTTAAAAAAATTTTTAAATAAATATTTTATTTATTTACTTAAGAGGGAGACAGAGAAGTGGACTCCCTGCTGAGCAGATATCCTGATGAGGGGCTTGATCCCAGAACCCTGAGACATGACCGGAGCCAAAGGCAAAGGCTAAACCGACTTAAGTCACCCAGGTGCCTTATTCCCAGGCCTGCAGGCCCCACATCACTGAGGGGTTCCCACAGGACCCCTAAGAAGAGCCTGTCTTGCCCATGATGAAAGAGGACGATTAGGGTTTCATTCATAACTGTAAAGTTTTTTTTTAAGTTGGGGGTTACTAATTTGTTTCACTAGAATGGCAGAGGAGATGTAAACAATTTTATTACATAGGCTTTTTATTCAATTATGGAAAGACCACAAATCAGGTACTGTATTTTAGTTAAAAATTGCTTTAATTCAACAGAACAGCTTTTGTGGCTATTTAATGAAATCTGTAAATAGGAGGTGGAGTTCAAGAAATCCTGGCTGAGCAGTTTTTAACTGCAGGCTCTAAAGTATGTCAAATACAGAGAATATTCTGGAATATAAGTGTTTATTCGTATTTGAAGATGAAACTAAACTTAGATCTGTCCTGGAATATTAGTTATGTAGTAATTTGGTTAGAGAGCATTCTGGGTCTGTGCTTCTGCATTCAGCTTTTACATGGTTGACTCATGCAGAGGCCCCAACCGTGACCGTGAGCCCCCAGACACATGCTGTCCAGCCCGCACACAAGGAGCCTGTTCACAGTCCTGCCAAGTACGCCCCCAGCCTCGGACCTGCTGTCACCACACGAGGAAGCTATCTTTTGAAATTTGTGTACTGACCCCACTGACCCCAATTTGATCAAATTATGTATAAAATTCTTTTTAGAAGAGATGGCTCATTAACAGGGAGGAGATTGTTATATTGCAATTGTAAGAATAGCCTTAGACATTTAGATTTTTTTTTTTAATATATATAATAGGGAAGATTCAGCCATCACTGGAGTGTTTTTAAAATTCAAGAACAGGTCAATGATGAGCTGGCATGTATTCTGAATCCGAAGCTGATTATTACTACTTTAAGATGCTGGCGAGGATGCAGAGAAATGGGAACCCTCCTACACTGTTGGTGGGAATGCAAGCTGGTGCAACCACTCTGGAAAACAGCATGGAGGTTCCTCAAAAAGTTGAAAATAGAACTACCGTATGACCCAGCAACTGCACGACTGGGTATTTACCCTAAAGATACAAACGTAGTGGCCCGAAGGGGCACATGCACCCGAATGTTTATAGCAGCAATGTCCACAATAGCCAAACTATGGAAAGAACCTAGATGTCCATCAACAGATGAATGGATAAAGAAAACGTGGTATATATACACAATGGAATACTATGTAGCCATCAAAAGAAATGAAATCTTGCCATTTGCGATGACGTGGATGGAACTAGAGGGTATCATGCTTAGCGAAATAAGTCAGTCGGAGGAAGACAACTATCATATGATCTCCCTGATATGAGGAAGTGGAGATGCAACATGGGGAGTTTGGGGGGTAGGAAAAGAATAAATGAAACAAGATGGGATCGGGAGGGAGGCAAACCATAAGTGACTCTTACTCTCACAAAACAAACTGAGGGTTGCTGGGGGCGGGGGTTGGGAGAAGGGGGTGGGGTTATGGACATTGGGGAGGGTATGTGCTATGGTGAATGCTGTGAAGTGTGTAAACTTGGCAGTTCACAGACCTGTACCCCTGGGGATAAAAATACAGTATATGTTTATAAAAAAATTTAAAAATTAAAAAAAAATTCAAGAACAGCAGAAAGAAGCATCAGCTGGCATTCTTCTAACAATGACCTGTCTTCAGAATTTTTGCTTCAACATCAAGGGAAGGGTTCATTTTTCTACTTTCAACCAATTAAATATTCTGGATGAAACAAGTCACTCATTTGCCATGACCTTTTAGAAAAGTTATTTCGTTTAAAAAAAAAAAAGTACCTATTATTAATCTGTATTTGCATTGACTATGTTTTAGTGTATTTATAAATGGTGAGCTCAGTTTCTGAAATTAAACCTTTCATTTGCAATTTCCAAAAAAATAATAGTTTTTATTATATTCTTCTGCTTGTTTTAGGTTTGATTTGTTCACCCTGTGGTTTATAGTGTACATGCGGCTCAGTGGGTTAGAGCCTCTGCTTTCGGCTCAGGTCATGATCTTAGGGTCCTAGGATCGAGCCCTGCATTGGGCTCTCTGCTCAGCGGGGAGCCTGCTTCTCCCTCTCTCTCTTCCTGCCTCTCTCTGTCTACTTGTGATCTCTTGTCTGTCAAATAAATAAACAAAATCTTTTAAAAATTTTTAAAAATAAATAAATAAAATAATCTGAGGTCATCTTCAAATAATATTAACATTTCCTTTTCAGGTAGGGAAAGGGATAGCCCCTATAAAAGTATATTATCAACTTCTCTCGTTAATCCTTTACGCTTTTAGGGTCATACATATATGCTAGAAACAGACTAATACATTTGTTAGTATTATTGCTGTAAGCAGCAGTCATCTTTTAGAGCTATTACCTTCATTGATTCCATTTTTGATGTACTTCCGTTCTTTGTGTAGATATACATTTCTGGCTTGTTCTGAAGAACTTTGATTACCATTCCTTGTAGTATAAGAATAGCAATGAATTCCCTCAGTTTTACTTTTGTAGGCATTCCATTATCACTTTTGAGAAGTATTTTCATTAAGTATAAAACTACGAGTTCACACGTTTTTTTCTTTCTACACCTTAAAGATGTCACTTAAAATCACACACACAAAAATCTTTCTTCCACTTACAAGTGGTAAACACAGAATTCAGAATTTTAAAGACTGCACACTGGTTGAGTTATACTGCATGTACTTACTCTCCTATATATGTAAAATAAGAAAATAAAGCAGAATGCACAGTAGTTTTTAAATAGTTCATTGTTCGTAATCTATTACTTATACAGATTGTAAGAGATTAGGAATCATACCCAGTATGACATAAGGTATAAGTATTTTGGTAAAATATCACTTGAATAGATATAAGACTAGGCATTCAAATTATAAAATTAAACTGTGCCAATTTCATAGTTCAGAAGAATGATAGTCCTACTGGATTTTACTTTTGTGGAAAAAGAATTGCGCCTGTAACTACTGGAACCCCTGCAGCAAAAGTATCCCAGTTCTGTAACTGAATTCTATAGCCTGAAATCTGTCACGATGGCATCTTCCTCCTTTTCCTGGGATTCTTAGCAACTTTTATATCCTGTTTGGTTTTGTCTTTCATCTCTTCCACCTAGTAATGCCATCGTGACAGGTTCTATTTTGGATTGTAATTCTGAGGCGTCTTTTGAAATCCCAATGTCTCTTCTCTCCTTAAAATGGTAAGATCAGATTGTGCTGTGATAGGATCTAGAATCAGATTTATCTTGAATTGATGTTTTCTGAGCCATATGTTGTGACGAAAGTCTGTAATCATCATTCTTTAATTAAAATGAAAAAGCCCTGGAGTTTGTGTCATTTAATACCTGTTGTGAATGCATGCGTGCATGTGTGTGTGTGTGTGTGTGTGTGTGTGTGTGTGTGTGTGTCTCCTAATCTTCAAAGAGGGGCAGGATGCTGGGGAACTACACAGAAAATAGAACGCTTCATGAATTTACCTGTCGTCCTTGCATTGGGGCCATGCTAATCTCCATATCCTTCCAGTTTTAGTATATGTGCTGCCAAAATGTGCACCCTGTTGTGGATACTTTCAATATTAATTAATTAGTAATTGCAAATCTGCTATCTCAATATATTAGAGATGTGAGTATGAAAGCGTGGTCTGAAAGTTTTGTTATCAATTAATTTGCGTCTAATACCCTATCCTTTGTACTTTAAGACTTTCTAGGCTGTAGCTAGTTACTTTCCAATAAGAGCATCCATTGCTCAAAACCAGAATCTAATCTCTCCCTCTAATATTCAGCTATCTTCTCTAGCTTTAACGTTTTTCTCCTTTACGTGGCTATTGCTTTTTCTTTGAGGCATCTTGTTCTACAGAACATGTGAGCCCAGTGGGAGACTACAGTGCAGACATAAATGCTCTAGGTCCTTCACAAAAAAAGCGGTGGGAACCTGATAGTATTTCTCTTCCTGTCTTTTCCTTGTGCTACTTCTGATTTGCGCTTGCTTGGCAATTTCAGTGTGATCTGCTGGGGGCTGCTCCCTGGGTTGGCAGAGTGAGGGGCAGATAAGCCAGGAAGAGGAAGCACTTAGCTTCTATAACTGATGGATGCAAGAGCAACAACAGTTGGACAGGACAGTCGTCATCAGGTCTGTAAGGAAACAGGAACAGCGAGGGTAGCTGTATCTCAGTGAGAGCTCTGCAGGACAACCGACACGCCCTCTCGGGGAACCCCGTGCTCACCCAGCTGACCCTACACAGCCAGGTCCCTAGGTGCTGGGTCTTGGGAGAAGAGGACAGCTTCTCTGTTCACACATGATGTCTTTCCCTCTTTCTGGCCTTCATCTTGCTGGTGGTCTCCAAAACCAAGATTGACCTCCTCCTCCTGTCACACTGGGAGCCGAGGCCCGGAAGCCCCCGATAACCATTGCCAATCACAACTTGGCTGGCCACCCTTTGCCTTCCAGACTCTTAGGAGTTGATGCCCCCTGTAGCACCTGAGGCAGTAGGAGCTGGAGGGAGTTTGAGGTGCAGAGTTGTCCTGTGGACTAGACGTTTTTGCATTTTTAAGAGACCGGGGTGTTTGGTTGGTTTGTTAGTTTTCTGCCACCCACCCCCAATCTGGCCAGACTGAGTGCACTTCATATGAGGAACTCCCCACAGACTATTTGCTTCCTTCCTTTCCTTTTTCTTTCTCTTTTTCTTCCACAGGGTGTGATGCCTACCTCCAAGATGACTCCCAGTGATCCCAACCGCTTTGCAAATAAGTGGGGCTGTGTTACTACTTCTAGCCAACAAAGTAAGTGCAGACATGATGAGTGCTACTTTCTGCCTGGCATGAAGAGCCACAGGCCATCACAATGCTGTCTCCTTCATATATTTAAGTAATTTTTTTGTTTTCGCATAATTTTAGATACTAAGCAAGGTTGCACGGATACTACAGAGAGTACTCATGTACTCCATACTCAGTTTCCCTACATTACTCTAGTACCTCTGTCACAATAAATGAACCAGTATTTATGCATTATTAATTAAACTCCACATTTTATGCAGATTTTATGAGTTTTCCCCTGCTGCCCTTTTTCTGTTCCAGGATCCCATCTATGATACCACATTATTTAATCACCTGTAACCTTAGGTTCCTCTGGTCTGTGAGTTTCTTAGACTTTCTCAGACAGTTTTGAGGAATATTATATCAGGTATTTGGGGGACATGTACCTCAGTTTCAGTTCATTTTCTGTTCCCATAGTTGGACTAGAGCAGTGGATTTAGGGAAGACCATAGGGCTGAAGGTGCCATTCTTATTACATCATATCAAGGGTACTTGGTATCAACATGGCACGTCACTGGATGATAGCACCCTTGATCATCTTCCTAGTGTTTGTAAGCTTCTCTACTCTGTATAGTTATATCTCTTCCCTTACTTTTCCATGCTGTAATCTTAGGAGCAAGTCATCGCCCTCTTTGGAAACAGGTCATAGTGCTCTCTTGACCTCTCTAAGACAACTCTCCAATGGTGCTGTCACAAGTTAGAGGATAAGGGCGCCTGGGTGACTCAGTTCGTTCACTGCCTGCCTTCGGCTCAGGTCATGATCCCAGGATTCTGGGATCGAGCCCCACATCAGGCTCCCTGCTCAGCGGAGAGCCTGCTTCTCCCTCTCCCTCTGCCTGCAGCTCTGCCTACTTGTGCTCTCTGACTGTCAAATAAATAAATAATCTTAAAAAAAAAAAAAAAAAAAAAACAAGGTCAGAGTGTTTGGATCTTGGACTCACTCAGTGGAGCCACAGTTTCAGTCCTGGACATCACAAGAACAAGACATAAACTTTGTGGTGCTAAGCCATTGAGAGGTCAGGGTTTACATATTAGAGCAGCATAGCCTGGTCAAATTTGACAAACAACATTTTTACCCTGTATTTCACTTACTATTTTGTTCTTTTTCAATATCATTTTGGCAATATATTGGGGGCTCTTGCAATACCATCTAAAGTGTAAGATTTTCCATTTCAGCGAAAAGCCTTTGGGGTTTTGACAAGGATTACATTGAATCCATATATTGCTTTGGGCAGTATTACTATCTTAACCATATTCAGGCTTCTGATCCTGAACATCAGATATACTTCCATTTATTTCGGTCTTTGGTAATTTCTTTCAGCAGTATTTTATAGCTTTCACAGTTTAAATTTTGAATCTCCTTGGCTAAATTTACCCCTGAGTGTTTTATTATTTTTTTAAAGATTTCTTTATTTAGTTGAGAAAAAGAAAGAGAGCACACACATGCAAGTGGGAGGAGGGGCAGAGGAAGAGAATCCCCAAGCAGACTTCCAAGCTGAGCAGGAAGCCTGACACAGGGCTCGATCTCACGACCCATGAGATCATGACCTGAGCCGAAACCAAGAGTTGGAAGCTTAACTGACTGAGCCACCCAGGTGCCCCTCTTCTTTTTAAGGCTACTATAACTGGAATTATTTCTTTAATTTCTCTGTAGAATGTTCATTGCTAGTGTATAGAAATACAACTGATTTCTAAGCATTTGAGCCCTGATCTTGTATCCTGCAATTTGGTTTCAGACTGCACCTTCTCAGTCTGTTAAACAGATTACTTTTCTGAAGTGGGTGATTTCCAAGTTTCTCTTCTGGCTCTTTTCTCAGTTGACATCTTTGGTTCCTCATCTCAATGCTTCCAGGCATAACAGGGCCCCCCGGATAGCTATACCCTCTTATCACACTGCATTCATAGGCAAGAGAGCAGTGTGGAAATGGCAGCAGATCCAGGCTTCTCTATGTGCTAAATAGTAAGCAAAATGTTTTGATTTGGACAGACAGAAAACTCTTGATATGTTCTACCCATTGCTCCTGGTAACCTTGGTCTCATAAATCCCAGTTAGGCATCTCATTTAATATCTCATGCATGAGAATTTTTATGAGCTCTCACTGCATGTGAGGCACTAAACCGGAAGTCTGGAATGCAAAGTTCCCATCTGGAGTCCCCACCTTCAGAGAACAGTTCAGAGAATGGGAGAGATGTAAGCTATATGTTTCATGGACTTCTTCAATGCAGATGGCTATCTACTCAAGCAATAAGAAAGGTTTTTCTTTGGGGAGCTTGGGTGGCTCAGTGGGTTAAGCCTCTGCCTTCGCGAGCCCCACATCGGGTTCTCTGCTTGGCAGGGAGCCTGCTTCCCTTCCTCTCTCTCTGCCTGCCTCTCTGCCTACTTGTGATCTCTCTCTGTCAAATAAATAAATAAAAATCTTAAAAAAAAAAAAAAAGAAAGAAAGGTTTTTCTTTAAGCAGCAAAACAAAAGCTAGTAATTTCCCAATGAACACCATATAGTTTATTTGTTGTGAACTTATTAAAATGAAAAATATAGATGAATTCAGTAAAAAATTTACTTGTTAAGTAGAGTACACTAAAGAAACAAATTGCTCTCTTATCCTAGGCCACAAGGGCTCCTGGCACTCCTCAAATATTACCATTCTTGTTTCTCCTGTATCTTTGCAGGAACATCCATTTATATCCACATATGAAAGAGCAGAATTTTTTTTGTTTAATTTTACAACATAAACATGCTATATGTGTAGTGTTCTGTAATTGGGTTTTTTTAATCCTTAAATATATCTAGACATATTTCATATCCACCTACATAGAGTAGGTTACTTTTTTTTTTTAAAACATTTACTACTTCTTCAATCTAAAGCCAAATGTGATAGTTTATACTTATGGTAGATTTTGCAGAACTAGTAGTGTACTTTTTTATTCTTATAAAAGGTTTTATTTATAATTTCACAGGATTTATCATAGATACCCTCATGTTCCCTGTGAAAAATTTGTAATGACAAAATGTTAGACTGTTGTGGACAGAATTATGTGAGAAAATAAAGAACTGTGAGAAAAATAAGCTTTTGTTATTTCAGCCGCCCAGTCTATATTTTGTTACAGTAACCCAAGCAAACTAATACATAGATAACTATAGAAAAAGAGGGACAGGGGCTCCTGGGTGGCTCAGTGGGTTAAGCCTCTGCTTTTGACTCAGGTCATGATCTCACAGTCCTGGGATGGAGCCGCGTTGGGATCTGCTCAGCAGGGAGCCTTCTTCCCACCCCAACCCCAACCCCACCTGCCTCTCTGCCTCCTTGTGATCTCTCTCTCTGGCAAATAAATAAATAAAATCTTAAAAAAAAAAAAGGGAGGGACAAAAACCCACTATCTTACACCATGCACTTACAAGTCCCTCCTTCCCACCATGGCATATGGCAAGGGACTGAGAACGGAGAAGGCAGGCGGGATGCCAGAGGGCCCAAGTGTGGCTCTATCCTGTAGCAAGGCTTCAGTAGCCATACTGAGTGAGCAGGGTGCTGTACCCATGATCCAAGGCATACTGGCCAGATGAGTATTACAGATTTAGACTTAAGGCCTAGGAGAGCCTCTGTTTCCAGGAAGTCTCAGTACAGATCTTCCATGACTCATGATGGGGTCATTTTTCAATAAACCCATCAAAAATTGAAAATATTTTAATAATGTTGCAAAATAACCTACCAAACAGCATAGCTTAGCCTAGTCTACCTGAAATAGTC